CATTACATTACAATTACAATTACATTACAATTACATTACATTACATTTCATTATATCATATTATACAACATAAAAAAGTCATTATAATTGCAATAGTCGCAAAAATAAAATTGCTTTGTACACGACATTATGGCATATTCCGCAAACCTGACGTTACATTCATACGTTTTCCTGCGTACGAAAAATCTGCGCCTACCATAAACGAAGATTCGCAGAGTCTGGTGATCGCAGTCTGATCCGAGCGATGTACACGATAAAGCGGAACGGGCACCGTCGAGTCCGTAAAAATCGATACAAATCGAATCACAGAGTCGCGATCAGCGGCGACGCGGTCGTACGGTAAATCGATGGCTTTTAATTGGTCGACGTGAAGCGACGAGCTCGCGCGTTAACGATTAACGGATTGGAGAATCGCGCCGCGTGCGAGCCGGGGCGCACGTAACGGGTGGCACGGTGCGATCAAGTCCCTCGAAAAGCTGTCGGACACGTTCCGTTTCTGCGAATCGATCGAAAACGTGTTCGGAAAAAACGAATCGAAGAAACTTCCCAAAAAGTTGGCCAAAATGCACTGTTCTCCTGTAATACATGCGAGACGTTGAAAGCAGAAATCGAGTAACTAAATAAAGTTAATTTGTGGATAATTGTGGACGAATTTAAAGTTTTGTAAAATGCAGTGGCGACGTAGAAAGTAGACACGTCTCTTTAATGTATGTCACATTTTTAAGTTTTAACTTAGGATCGTAAGAAAAGGTCAAATAAAATTATATATTATATATAATATTTTGTAATATTATTATATAATGTATATGTATAATATAATATAAATAATATAATATAGATGATGTGATGTAATGTAATGTAAATGTAATGTAATTGTAATATAATTGTAATGTAATGTAATTGTAATATAATTGTAATGTAATGTAATTGTAATATAATTGTAATGTAATGTAATTGTAATATAATTGTAATGTAATGTAATTGTAATATAATTGTAATGTAATGTAATTGTAATATAATTGTAATGTAATGTAATTGTAATATAATTGTAATGTAATGTAATTGTAATATAATTGTAATGTAATGTAATTGTAATATAATTGTAATGTAATGTAATTGTAATATAATTGTAATGTAATGTAATTGTAATATAATTGTAATGTAATGTAATTGTAATATAATTGTAATGTAATGTAATTGTAATATAATTGTAATGTAATGTAATTGTAATATAATTGTAATGTAATGTAATTGTAATATAATTGTAATGTAATGTAATTGTAATATAATTGTAATGTAATGTAATTGTAATATAATTGTAATGTAATGTAATTGTAATATAATTGTAATGTAATGTAATTGTAATATAATTGTAATGTAATGTAATTGTAATATAATTGTAATGTAATGTAATTGTAATGTAATTGTAATGTAATGTAATTGTAATGTAATGAAATGTAATATAAATATATATAACATAAATATAATAATATCAAATATTTAATATTTTATATATTATATTATACATAATATTTTTATTAAGTGAATTTTTTGGGGAGAAGATACGCCGTCGCGCTTCGTCGAACGGCATCGTTCAACGTGTCGTCGATCGCTCGGATGAAACGACGCGCGCGTTCGACTCGTTTCTCCCCACCGGCGTAAATCTCTTAACCGTTTCGTAGCCATTCGCGCGTGTACAACTATTTATCTGTATCGGGAACGGCGTCGGGTAAAAGAGAGAGGGAAGGAGGGAGCGAGAGACGGAGAGTGGGGATAGGGTAGCGGATCGCGTTTGCCCCGCGGATGCGAGTTCCGAACTTCGCTCACGAATTTATACGATAACGGTATTCCAGGAGGGATTCGACGCGGGCACTGCCGCTCCGGATCAACGAAATCGGACCCCTTGTTTCAAGCGAATGCTACTGGACCGTGATGGTTGTGTTGCGTCCCTTCGGCAGAGAGTCCCTAGCCTCGCCACCGTGGTTATCCATGAGCCGGTGCATGCGAACCGAATATAATGCGCCTGCCTGCGATCACCGCTGGCTGCCACTGTCCGACACCTATTCCGTGTTCCCGTAAACAATCGCCGAGCCGCGCCGAGTCGCGCCGAGTCTCGCCGAGTCGCGCCGATCCTCGCTCGCCGGCTGCGAGTCGGAAAATCCCCCCTCCCCGTGGTCCTCGCTCGAGGATTAGAGTCGAACGTGGGCCACGTTCGTGGTGACAGATTTCATTCTTCAGTGACAGATTTCGAAGGATTTTTCGGAGTTGTTAATTTTACAGGCCTGCGAATTAAAGTGTCAATCTTTTCTCATTAAGTCACAACTATTGAACGCTGTCAATTTAAAATGAGCTTCTGGATGATCACAGTAATAACCTCGACGTAGCGGTATCTGATCTAAATAATTTCAGTTGAACCAGATATTTGTTCACTATTTAGGCTGCGATCGTTTTTAACAAATATATGTTATTTTGTACTACAGCAATATTGAGAAATTTGAAGAAAAATTATATAAAGATGTTGAACCTGAAATTTAAATGAAAATTATTCGAAGCGAACGTTGCATCATAGAATACTTTCAACGATTAATATCACTGGCAAATTATTTATATTATATTATATAATATTTTATCATATATTATTTTAATACTAGCAAAATTATCACTGGCAAAGTGATATTAAACTTATTTATTAGACTGTCTTCTATATCTGTACGATACGAATGATCATAAATTAAAAAGATTAGCGATCCGTGATTTTGACGGGGTTCCATAAATCTAGTGTTAAACGTTGTTCTCGACTACTTCCGCGGATCACTGTATGTAAATACGATACGCCGATCACCAGCCACGTTCCACGTCCCCCTGAAAGGAGGCATTCCAGTTGCCGATTGGATTCGCAGTGTCCCCTCGGAGGGGACGGCAGAGTGCGAAGGGTCAACTGTGTAACTGTGAATTACATGTGATTCACGGGACAGCGGTCCCGTTAGCGTAAATTAACGCAAAATGAACTAGTCACAAATGCGGTGCTTTTTACGGTTATCATTATACATATATATATATATATATATATATTATATTATATTATTATATTATTTTATATTATATTATTATATTATATTATTTTATGTTATATTTTTATATATATTATATATAATATATAAAAATATATATATAAATATCATTACGATTTTCGAGAAATTTGTATACATATGTTCGTCGACTCCAGCATTATCTAATCAGAGCTGTTCGACAGCTTGTCCCCCTCCCCGCCTTTAGATAGTGATTTTCAGGGCAAACACTGATCGGTGGGCATTAGGTCCCACTCCTGAGGGCACAACGGTGCTCATTTCTTAGCTCAAGGAGCTAATTATAGCTATAATATAGCTTATATTATAGGTTATAGCAATAATTATAGCTATAATATAGCTTATATTATAGATTATAGCAATAATTATAGCTATAATATAGCTTATATTATAGGTTATAGCTATAATTATAGCTTATATTATAGGTTATAGCTATAATTATAGCTATAATATAGCTCATATTATAGAGCATATTATACAGCTTATATTATAGGTTATATATTAGCTTACATTATATTATAGGTTAAGTGTCAAAGTCACAGCGATGGATAGACTCTTTCTTATCCAGTGCGAGGTTAAGATCTCGTTTCACTATTCGCGTAAAATCGTCCTTCAACAGCGTCTCCGCGCAGTTAAGAGCGAATTATTATGATCCCCGGCTATTGTGCTCCGTTGGGGACGCTCGAAGAAATCCGAATCGTCGGGGAGAACCGTCGAGCAAATATATCGGAGCTTCGAGTTCGCGAGAACGGTGGGAGGAGTATATCGAGGATCGTCGTCGTCGTACTCCTCGGGGATCTTCGCGAACTTTTTCTTCTTCTTCGAGAAACTCGGCGAGTGGTAGTCGTCGTCGTTGTCGTCGACGTCGTCTCGTCTCCGTCTGGGCGCGATCGCCGCGGTAAAAGGGTGAATCTTGAGCGCGCATCGTCGAGCAGAAACGTCTCGCCGTTGTGTCCGCCGTCGCCGCGGCGCGGCGCGGCGAGCCGCCCCGCTGTACGTGTTTTCCCATTGTCGGCGGAGACTGTTCTCGGAGAGGGGAGGGGATGGGGCAGCGCGAGCGGCGCATCTCACAGTATGTCGGGCAAACTTTCCGAGCACAAAAGTGGCGGAGAGCCGTCGGCGGCTCGAACGGTGGAAAGTTGCCGGGGATAAGGGGCGCCCGCGGTGCCACCGCGACAACCACCGGCATTGTTGCGCGAATGAAAGAGATCCGTTTACGCCGACGTTCGCCGGCGGTTTTATTCGGACACCGATAACATACGTTTAACCGTTACGGACGACGCGCGACACTTTACCGGTCCGTGTGTACGACCGACCTGTAAGGCCGCCGCGCTCTGTCGTCTTCGGCAGGAGAGACGAAACGACGCTGGTCGATCGATACGTCGTTCCGTGTGTCCGTCTCTTGGACGGCTCGGCCGGCTCTCTCGTCCGTTCGAAGCGACAACCCGGAGAGGCCGATTTTCTTTGAGAATGGGACCAGAAAATGAACGGAAATACGGTTTCGAAAGTGGCGAATTTTGTACAATCGTACATTAAATTCTCAGTAAAAAAAATGTTTCGAACAAAAATTAATTATTACTCGGTCTCCGTAAACATTAATATAAAAAATTGAAAAGAAAAATGACCGTTTCTATGAAAATCGTTAATTGAACAGTTTGTGGATCGAATTGTAAGCATTTCTGTAGTACTGTTCATTTACTTTTGCGACGATATTATTTATTATTTTGAAAATATAATAAAACATTATGTATTATTATTATTGTATTATTATATTATTAGTATTAGTATTATATTATGATATTATATATTATTATTATTCTATTATGATATTATATATTGTTATTATATTATTATTATTATATTATATATTATAATCATAACGATATCATTTCCATCAACGTTCGTCAATGAAAATAATTATAGTTTATGATTATGATTGACTCGATGAGTAACTCAAGGTTACTATTATTATTATTATTATTATTATTATTATTATTCACGCGGAGGTAACAAAAAGTCTTCCATAAACGTCAACATACAAAAATTAAAAAGAAAATATATTTCCAAACATCAAATCAAAGTAACCTCGATTTTTAAATCGTCACTACATCTTTTTCACGTTAACATCATTATAGCCGACGTCAAGACGAATTCAACGAGCCATAGAAAACTGTCTTCACGTCCTAAAAACGTTGCTAAAATCGTCGCGAACAGCTAATTCCATCGATTGGGACCGCTGCGCGACGCTCGGCGTTAGCTCAGGTTAAGCAGACGGTCTCTCCCCACTCCCCTCGGACCCTCGCGGGACCACCCTCGGCGCTTGCGCCGGTTCGCGGTATGCGCGACGCGGCGCGTTACCCCCTCTCCGCGGCAAGACGCCGCGTTACCCCGTCCAGCGCGCGCGGAGCGCACTGAAATCCGCGATGGACCTAGCAACACTGGTTTTTCGCCGCGCGAGGGGACTTTTTCAGGCGAGGCGTTTGTCTTTTTTTTGCGAGTCTCGTATCGCGATCTCCGCGGCGCGAAAACGAGCATTCGCGACGAGAAATCAGCGACTTCGAGGCGTTACATTTGCCCGCGCACGGTAGCCTCCTGAAAAAGAGGGTCGTGCCCGATAAGAATCCGTTGAACCCCGCGCTGTGAACAGACTTTTTTCTTTTCTTTCTTTTGATTTTTTTTAACCCCTTAATGCACAGTTTTTTTTTAAAAAGGCCGGCCAAAAATATCAATTTTTTTAAATGTAAACAAGCACAATTTAGAACGTTGTCTTGGCAAGAAAAAAAATTACAAAAATACAAAAATAATCAAAATTTTTATTGCAATTTTGGATTTTGATAACATTGCAGATAAATAGTCGAATATTGTAATATTACACGCACATCGACTTTTTTATCTTTCTTTTCGAATTCTCATTTCAGAATAAACATTATTATCAGTAAATTTATTTATACTTTTAAAACATAAATAATAACAATACTAGTATTTATAATATTTATTATTATATTTATATATATTATTATTTATATTTTATTTTACATTATATTTTAGTAAAATATATATTGAAAAATGAGCGAATCAGAATCTGAATATGAATACGCTGTCGGAAAGCGGATCACAAGGAAGAGATAAGTCGTAAGTGATAAGTAGAAAAAGGATATATTTTATACTTGAATAAGTAAGTGTTATAGCTTACAATCCCATGTAAATGATAAATATCAATAAAACGATTGTTTTCTTTTTTGCTTTCACATTGTTATTTTCAATTCTCGATCGCATTCGAGTGTGAAAAATTATAGCAACATAAAGTACAACGCCGCTCGAATTATCTCGAGTGTGCACAGTTTGGCCGGTTTAGCGCGCTCGAGTTAACTCGAGCGTGCACGTTAAGGGGTTAAGGAAGCTGCGCGCCGTTTCGCGCGAACGTTCGCGAGCGCAGAGAATTCGCGACATCGGCGAGAAGATCCTCCTCGGTCGATGCGGAACGCATCCGGCTGCATTCTTTCTCTCTCGACTCGGGTTAGGCGAATGGGATGAGCTCCGGCGAGCGGACGGAGAACGTCGGCCGTTCGAACGCGACCGGTACCACTCGACTCGACTCGACTCGGATCGATCGATCATCGATGGCCACCGCTCGAGAACAATGACGGACTCGGTGAATGAAAGTGGAACGGAAACTTCGAGAGCCCGTCGATTTTAGACCGCTCGACGAGCAACGCCGAAGTTAACCCAACTTTCGAGCCAGCGATGTCTCTCTGCTCAGGAAATTACGTCCACGTTATTCCAGCAGGCTGCGTTAACGTTTATGCGGACCGAGAAACGCTCGAGTAGTATCGCTCGGGATTCGAGAAATCATTTCGGCCGCGTGTTCAACGTGAACACGTGTTTGCTAAACGAATTAAATGTCGCGGAGATTACGAACGAATATTCAAACAATATTGACGAATTCAATTCTATGGTATTGTGGACGATGCTATTGCGCGGGAAAGTTGAATTGATTCGTTTTAATAGTTTTAGTGGAAAGATAATAACCTTGATATATATAATAATATACATATACAATAAGTAATATATAATATATAAGTAATAATAATATATATAATAATATATAATATATAAATAATATATATGATAAATAATATACATATATGATGTATATATTTTGTGTCCCAAAAATGTCTCGCAATTCGAAAGCAGGG